GAAATTGACCTACTTGATCAACACCGTGAGCAACATGATATTCAAAGAGAGCTGGCCACTCCAACCTGGCCACCCCAATCTGGCCACCCCGACCTGGCCACCCTGACCCCTTTTATTTCCAGACCTTTCTCGAAAAAGGCGTAGAATTGGATGGTATCGACGTCAAGAAACTGATTAACGGAAAGATCCCGGACCCAAACACGGCCACCCTCGCGGACATGCTCAACGGCAAGGACCCGGCCACCCTCAAGATAAAGGACTACTACAACGGCCACCTGCCGGACGAGCTGAAGGACGCGACGTTCTTGGACTTGATCAACGGCCTGGACCCGAGGACCGTCAAGCTCAAGGACCTGCTGGCCGGCAAGGTCTTCAACCCGAAAGACCTGGCATTGCCCAAGAAATTCTCCCGGGATATTTCCGATTCCATCAAGAATTTCGGTACGTGTGCGAATTTTATTATTTTTTTATATTTTAGAGAGATGTGATGCGTGGAGATATGCTTTCGTGTTTATGTGGTTTTTCCTGGAAGAGTCGTGTGGAGGATCGGCTTTAAAGGGATTCTCCCGTTGGTTCCTTCCAGCCTTTTTCGGGTACAAACTCTACAAGAACCTGACGGAGAAGGAGAGGAAAAAGGAGGAGAAGAAAAAGATGAAGATGCAGAAGAAGAAGAAATGATGGAGATCGTTCCCGATCAGACCGGAGCGTGAGGACTCGAGTGGAGATTCCCGATCGGGCCGGAGCTTGTGATTAATTTGGATCGTTCTTTTTTAATTAGTTGATTTGAATCCTTTTTTTTTTGCGTAAGTATCGCAGAGCGAGGGTTTTTTGGGGTTTCGGGACGATGCCCTTGTGATATTTGCATGATATGCCCTTCTGTGTTCGCTCCGTCTGTGTACAATGGGGGAGAACCCGGGGAGGGAAGCAAGAACTCTCGCGAAATTAGCAGGGCCGATTAGCAAAATTATTATTTGAGATTTTTTCGTGTTTAGCGAGCCCCGATTCGTCACCCTTCGGTATCCCGAGGTGAACCCGCGCTCAATCCAGTGAAAATCTTCGGAGCTTATTTATTCTTGGAATTATTATTTTTTGCTTATTTTTCTATCTTCTCCTGAGTCGGTGAAGTCGCTTCTCCGCCGGTCCCGGACGTTTCGTCGGGTCGGGTGTGACAGGGTGTGACAGGGTGTGACAGGGTGTAACTCTCGGTCGGTCCTACGTGCGACTCGGCGCCTGTGCCATACCGATGCGAGCTGGGAGCAGCTCGTTGTGCTGATCGTGATGGATGGATGGTTCATTGGTTTTTGATGACTCTGTTTGGAGAATGATGTTGTGTGGCTGTTCTCGGGGGGTGGGATCGTGCGGTTTTAAGAGGTGAGGAAGGTTTACGAAATGTGGCTTCAAGGTGTTTTTAGGGTTTTTTTTTTTTAAATCTGAGTCTGGCAATTTTCACTTTACCCCACACCCATGTAGGGGCGTCGTCGAGTTTTTTTAAGCGTCGGACGTGGGAAATGACGTTCGTCTCGAAAGAGGTGCGTCCAGTGGCCGACGACACGTGTCGGTGATGACGATCACCGACACGTGTCGGTCCCTTTTGCAAGAATCGGACGAATGCAAGTTGTTTCTTTTGGGTCTGGAAGTTCCAGTGATGTTCCGTGTTCGAAAGAAATTCTTGTTTTTCGTAGACGATTGGCATGTTTTACGAGCGTGGCTAAAATTGCAATCGCGTCGATTGGAAAATTGAAAACTCGTGGACATTTTTGACCTCTGAAGAGCGAGGAATGGGGGAATAACGCCCCTTTCGCGTCGAACGCGAAACCGAAGTCGACTGCTACTCGATGCGCCGCTTGTTTCTCGCTTCGGCACTTTTTCGGCGTCTCCCTCGGCATTGACGAGATTTTTTTTTTTGGCCGGCTGAGCCCAAAGGTCGAAAGGACGGTCCGTTCGGGAACGGTCGGTCGTGCTGGCCGTCGGCGGCCGACGGTTCTTCGATGGCGAATTTCTTCTTGTGGTTCCTTGTTGGTCTTTGCTGGCGATGCTGGGATTTAAAATACTCGTGTCGCGACCCTGACATCAAATGCAAGAAAAATTTGCACCTGTGCCATATGCAAAGTCTTTGCAATTGGATATTTCAAAAGATGTTCAACAAAAGCTGTTCATGTGACTCAACAATGTTGCATGTTGTCGATGTGAACACGGGTAATTTTGCAGTGTTTCTGGTTGGAAACCGCGTGCTCTCGAGAACGCGATGGGAATTTTTTTTTTTTTTTTTCGTTGATGCCATGTCAGCAGTCTTCCCTGTCGTTTCGTGCGTGTTTCTTGCTGGACCGCCAAGAAGAAAAGGAACCGTGCCGGTTTTTGCATGCAAAAAGTGTTTGCGAGATGGAGTGGAATTTTAACTCGTGATTTTCGTCCCTCTGTATGTTTTTATTTGCACTCCCATTTTATTCCCATACGAAGTACTTTCTCGATCGATCCCCAAAATCAATCGGGTATTTTTAGTCGAAAATTCAATCGCTGTACCTGGAACTCCACATTCCTTGCATTCCAATGAAGCTTTTCTCGAATGTGCCATTTTTTTTATTTTTTATCCGATCCCGAGGGTTTCCCCCCGAATTTCGAATTCCCAGTCGGCCCCGAGATTCCTTTCCGGTCGGGATGGCATTTCTGAATCGTCGCAAAGTGTTTTTTGAGTTTGACGCGGGTGGATCGGGCGCGTGCGATTGGGTATTGTGGCGTGTGATGTGTGGGTCAGGTGTCAGGAGATTCTTCCTCTATTGGAAATACAGTGCAAATAAAAACATACAGAGGGACGAAAAATCACGAGTTAAAATTCCACTCCATCTCGCAAACACTTT